ACGGCGACAGAGGAAGGGCTGAGCTCAGTAAGAGCTGAGACTCCAAAGACCCCTGACAGCACGGCCCTGGGCCAGAGGGCAGTGGCTGGCAGAGTCACACCCCACACAGCCCTTCTGCCAAGTGCTCAGAGGACCTGCCCCCTTCTTCGTATGTGGACCCAACAAATAGCTATGGGCACAGGCTATGTCCAGTCACTGCCTGACCACACGGGGTCACCCCTGAAGACCTCGTGGTTCCCGCCTCATGGGGAGACCCCTCCCTGTGGGAGGGCAGGACTGTGACTTGCTTTCAGCAAAGGTGACGGGATGTACTAGTAAGTGACTGAGCATGTGAGAGCACAGTGCCCGTCGCATGGGAGTCTCCCTGCGGTCTGGCTGTGAGGACGCGGAAGCCTGCGGGAGCCTTGGGGGGCCAGGGAACGAAGGTGGCTCCCCAGGCAGAGAGGCCTCCGCCAAAAGCCTGCGGGCCCCCAGGGGCCCCCAGGGGCCCCCAGAGGCACCCAGCAAGGAAAGGAATCCCTCCTTTCTGGCATCGAAGGAACTGCATTCTGCCAACAGCCCGAGGAGGGTGGAAGGGGTCCCTCTCCAGTTCAGCTCCCAGGAGCCTGCAGCTCTGGCTGACGCCTGACTCCCCATCAGCTGACCCTGGGAGTGCCCAGTGTGTGTGGCTTTAAGCCTCCAAGAGTGTGGTGGTCACCTTGTTGCATAGCAGTAAAAAGCTAATCTGCAGCGCCTCCCTCTCTCTTTGTCTTTCTCAACCTTGACATCATTGTGGAAAGCCCCCCCCCCCCCCCCCCCCAGCCTGGGCGTGCCGGTGTGAACACCCCTCTTCATCATCGTGAACAGATTCGGATTTCTGGCAGGAATGAGACATAGGTGAGCTGTGTCCAGCTCTGTATAGCCTATTGTAAGGGGGCTGCTGTTCATCCCAATATAAGTGATTCTAGATCGGTCACTTGGTTAGAGCATCCGCAGGTCTTTCCTTGTAATGACAGATACTTTTTTCCCCACGGGAATGAATGAGTAACTTGTGAGAAGATCCTTTCTGTAGAAATCCACTCATGATGCTGCTCACCCATTAGTTAGAGCAACCATTAGTGCTTTTCTAACTGCACGCTCCCTCTTATAGTCACTAGGTGCCACCCCCCTGTGAGGATCATGGCCTTCTGTTTATTTGCTTATCTAGTTATTTACTGATGTCAGTCTGGAGCCGCAGTAAGTGATCATTTGTTACTATCATGATATATTCTGATATTCAAATTGTACGCCCCCTTCAGATATATCTTCTGTCCCTCTGATATATTGGCATCATTGCTAAGCCTTTCTTATTTTCCGGTAAAACATGATTTTTCAGGTACATTTTGTACTTTCCCTGTCCCAGACCTGGATCTTTTCTCAAAGACCCCTGGTTTCTTTTTTAAAATGAAGAATGGTATTTAGCAGCCAAACTACGAGGACCAAGTGTACACCGCTCCTGAACTGTCATCGCTTCCAGCATCTCTTTGTGACAGAGCTGGAACATACTATATTTTTCCATGTATAAGACGCTATTTTTTTCTAAAATCATTAGACTGAAAATCGAGGGGCGTCTTATGCACGGAAGTCAGCCAAGGAGGGAGCCATGCGGGTGCATAGCTGCACACACCTTGTCAAACAGGCCACCTCCAATCACAGGCCTTATTGTTACTGACGTCAGCTGATGCTGTAATTGAAGATGGAGGTGGAGAGTGCGCAGTTGCAACAGGGACCGGAGCGTTCTGAGCTCATAAAGATGTAAAAAAATAAAAAGATAAATACCGGTAAGTGATTGTCTTACTCTGCCAAATTCAAACTGAATGTAGTCAGCTGCACAAAGAGCATGGAAACAGAGCTGCAGAGAGACCATGTGGCCCCCTCCCACGGAGTGTCTGATCAGACAGTGGGGAAAACAGGAAGAACAACTCCTGAAGATGCCAAAAAAGAAGAAGGCCTTGAGAGGAAAACCAGCAACATGTTTAAAATATTGATTTTTAATTTTGGGTTTGAAAAGTGGGGGGCGTCTTATACTCAGTTTTAAGTGTTGAGTGTGTTTCCCTCCACATCCTGAGTGGTTCAGGGTTCAGGACCTGGAAGAAGAGCCGCACACAAATGAAAGAGAAAAGACAAGAGATAATTGGAAATATTGGGGGGCCAGGCGGGCAAGTCCAACTCAAGGGGAAGGACTTCCACTGGTGCTCAGGCCTCACCAAGCTTTTATTGATCTGGGATACACCCATAGCATAGCCCTTAGGCAGGTGACCCCTGGCAACAGGCAGACCAGCCCATCAGCAAGGATTTACATAATAATAGATGGGGAAGTTGCTTCAGCTACCACTGGACAAACAGAGGTGGTGCCCAGCTCAGACCTTTGCTAGGGCTTCAAAGGTACCCAGCCTTGGGGGGGGAGGGGGTTCTCTGTCTACGCTTATCAGCTAGTGAAGACAATAAGCGGTTTCCCACATTTAAGACCAAGGATTTTCTTGCTCAAGCTCCTTGTAGGCTGTTAGCTAAAGGCTGCCCACAGCTCTTAGAAACTGCCTGCACATGGAATTTCCCATATGATGCGCGTGCGCACACACACACACACACACACACACACACTGAGCTTTTAACTTCATTTCAACACCATCATGTACCTTCTTTTTAAAAAAATATATTTTATTGATTTTTTACAGAGAGGAAGGGAGAGGGATAGAGAATTAGAAACATTGATGAGAGAGGGACATCAATCAGCTGCCTCCTGCACACCTCCTACTGGGGATGTGCCCACAACCAAGGTACATGCCCTTGACTGGAATCAAACCTGAGACCTTTCAGTCAGCAGGCCAACCCGCTATCTCAGAAGTTCTCAACCTGTGGGTCCCGACCCCATTTGGCGGTCAAAGGACCCTTTCACAGGGGTCGCCTAAGACCATCCTGCCTATCAGATATTTACATTATGATTCATAACAGTAGCAACATTACAGTTATGAAGTAGCAACGAAAATAATTTTATGGTTGGGCCACAACATGAGGAACTGTATTTAAAGGGCCAGAAGGTTGAGAACCACTGCTCTGTCCACTGAGCCAAACCGGATAGGGCCATCATGTACCTTCTGGTCTTTCCCCTTCGGCAGTGAGGATGGTGGATCTCCTTTTATGTGCAAATATACTTACCCAATTTTCTCAAGCCTAGAATATATAGGATTAATGCGAGAGGCCAGCTGGTGCTGGGTCGTGTTTGTTTGTTTGGTTTTAAAGGCAAGGCAGGGAAGATGCCATCACTTTTTCCCTTTGTGTTACCCTTTCTGGGGAAGGAATTAGATCCCCCATGGTTTTGTTTGTTTTTCTACTTGGGTAACCCAAACTTGTGACAGTAGAGGCGGATAAAAGTGAATTCCGAATGAATTCCAGGGGAACCGCGAAAGGCATGTGCAGGATTGGGGCTTCATTCTCGCAGCATGGGAGGGCCCTCCGTTAAGTCGTTGCACACGTGTGTGTTGTAAATAGCATGAACAGTGTCCCGCGTGTTATTTCCTGGTGATGTTTCTCTGAGAGAAGATTTGAGCAGCTTGGTGCAATCCAGACCGATGCGTTACAACATAAAATAGCTGAGCACGTGGAGACAATAAACTAGAGCTGGACAACAGAAACCTGTCCCCAATATGCTTGCCTGTCAGTACAAGAGGTGTTGCTACAAATGTTACCTGCATGTTAGAGAGAGAACAGTTTTAAACACCTCCGCCCAGGTGCCAGGCCTTACCACTGCCCCGCCGCCATCTGCAGGGCCCAGGGCTGACACAGGGAAGATTGCAGGAACCGTTTCTCTTGCAGGAATTTTTCAGAAACCTTCCCTGGTTTCTGATCCTATAAAATCTGACATAATTGATCAGGTGTGGCTTCACCCTCTACCCCTTTGCCCGCCCGCGGTTTGGGGTTGTGGTTACTTGCCTACAACGCAAAGCTCCGGAGAAGCTGAAGTTACAAAAGGACCCTTAGTTAATGCAGGGAGGACCGGCCACTGCGGGGAGGGACTGGGAGCCACCTTTAAAATTCTCATGTTATCAAGTTTATTATGTGTCGTTATGCAGTACTAGTTTCTTACACTGTTGTCAAGAACAGTTTGAAAGGAGTTTGTTGAAAGTAAGTAGGGAAATCGGGTTGGGTATATCGCTGCTAATAGGTCCTTCACACGTTGTGAAACATACAAGGCCGGGTTTCATTCTGCCCCAAAAATTAGTTCATTGAGAAAAACACCGGATTAAAACTGCAAGTGCTCCGGGGGTATGGAGATGAGAACAAAGCAAAGGCAGACACACATTCCTTTTCGTAAAGCAGCCACGGAGGTGGGACAGAGCAGGGTGGGGAGAGGGGCCCTCTCAGAGGGACACTTCTGGGGTGGTGGTGTGTGTGTGTGTGTGTGGGGGGGGGGCGGTGTGTGAGTTCAGTCCAGTTCAACGCAATGAGCGTTCATGTAAAATTGGGCCGAGGGCTACTCTGCCTGCACCAGCACCGCCCATGGTCTCAAGTTAAGCGGATGGGGTTCTGACTGCACACAGGGCCACCATGATATGCCCCTTTCTTTTACAGAAAATCTTCGTCTGAGTCATGCAAAGGGTGTGTTTGATGCAAAGGTACATAATTCATAATGATCGCTGCTGTTACGATTAACATGGAGCCCAGGAAAGGCCATGTTGGAAGTCACCCGCCAACCTGTCCGGCGGCACACGCCCCGACTCCGTCCCGGTGCGCTGAATGGCCGGGCTCAGAGGTGGCGTCCCCGCGCTCCCACACTCCAGCGCAGGGCACAGGCTCAAGGAAGAGGTTCAGGGTGGCGCCCCTCTCCCTCTGGGGAGACTCCCCTGGCGACCGCTCTCTGCGCTGAGAATGCGGCTCCGGTCTCCACCCCCTTTCCTAGAGGGACACTCGCGAACACCCCGTCACCTCCCGGCGACCCGAGCCCGCGCGGCGCGCAGCGCACCCCAGTGGACGCGCGCGGCTCCAGGCCGTGGCCACGGGCTTCCGGAGCGCTGCTCGCCGCCGCCGCGGCTGCCGGGGACTCGGGGACTCCGGAGGCCGCTGGAGCCGGTCTGGGCCGGACCCCCGGAGGCGCGGCTGCAGCCCCGGCCCCGCCCGCCGCACCTGGAGTCAGGCTCGGAGAGGCGGGGCGGGGCCGCAGGCTGGCCGGCCGCCCGTGCTGCTCGCTGGAGCCGCCGGACCGGAGCGAGGCGTGGGGGAGGGTCTCCAGGCCGAGGCCGCGGCTCCGGGGAGAGACCCCGGCGGGGGAGGAGCCGGTCCCCGGGAGCGCAGGGGCGGCGGCGCGGGCATGGAGCGGGCGAGCCCCGGCTGCGCGCGGCCGCGGCACCACGACGCGGTGGAAGCGTGGCTGGACGATCACCGGGACTTCGCCTTCTCGTACTTTGTCAGGAAAGCCACCAGGTAAGAGGGCCCGGCGGACCCGGCGGGGCGCGGAGCCGACCGGCTGACCCCCACCCCCAACCCCCGGCTCCGTCCCCTTCCGGCAGCCTCGGTTCTGCAGGAGGTCCCGGTCATGTTTGGTGCCGAGACCTGGACTTGAAGGCGAGCGCGGGCGAAACACCCGAGCGTGGATTCGGTCCAACTTGCTGGCAAAGTTCAAATGCAAACATTTCCCCGCGGCCGGGCCCCCGCAGCCCGCTTCCCGGGAGCGGTTCCGTGCGCCGCGCCCCGGCCTCCCGCAGCCCCGTCCGCCTCCCGCAGCCCGAGCCCCTTCCCTGCGCCCGGAAGCTCCGTCCCAGCCCGTCCCGCGGCCGCGCTCCTCCCCCGGCCCCGCGCCCGGCGGCGGGGCGGGGAGCCGCGAGGGGGCGAGGCGGCGGGCAGCTCGGCGCAGCGCGCAGGAGCCTCCCCGAGTGAGTGCCGCGCCGCGTCCCCTCCGGCCCCGGCCGCCCCGCGCGCCTCCTTTCGCTCGCCCCGCACCCGTGGACCGGGCTCCGGGGGAGGCGGCGCGGCGTGGAGCGGCCCCGGGGCGGGCGGTGACCCCAGGGCCACGCTGCCTGGTCCGGAGCCAAGGCGAGGGCCGCGCGGGGCGGGGACGCTCTGTCCCCTGGGAGGCGCCGCGCCGCGGGCCCTGGGCGCGCGTGGGAAAAGCTCGCGGAGGGTTGGGAGGACCCGAGGCCGAGGCCGGGTGACGGGGAGGGAGCAGCGTGCCTGGCGGGCGGATCCCCGAAGCCCGCGGACTCGGGGCGCAGCCGGGGCGCCCGCCGGGCTCCTGTGCGCTGGGGCTGCCTCCGGGCGAGCCTCGGGGAAGGGCCCGAGCCGGCGCCGGCCGCGGGGCCGGGGGTGATGGTGGGGGCGCCGGTCCCGGCTCCGCGCTGGGCTCCCACCCGCGGGGCTCCCACCCGCCGGCGCGAGGCCGCCGCTGTGCCGGGCGCTCCCCGCCAGGGGGCGGCTTGGCGCGGGGCGAGCGGGCGGCGGGGGCGCTAGGGGCGCGGGCTCCGGGCGCCGCCTCACCTGGGCGCGGCGTCGCCCCCCGCGCTGCTGAAGTCCGGGGCCCGCCGGGCCGCGCGGTGCGCACCTCGCTCCCCACGTCTGCTATGTTGCCCTTTGGAGACAGAACGAGGTACCTCCCCAGCACCCCCACCACCACCACCACCACTCCCGGGGCGCGGCGCGGGGCTGGGTGGCGGGTCGGGTGCAGGCGATGCTTCACTGACCGTGGACCTTGCGGCATCGGGCCCCCTGACTCTGCGGGGTCTTCCTTTGCCATCTTGGACGGGGCTCTTTGAACCCCATTTCTCCCAAGAAACGTCCCATGTTGGGGGTCGCCTTGACCGCTTGGGGTTTCTGACTGAGGCGGCGGCTTGGGACAGATCTCATCTCCCAGGTGAATTGCTGTGGCCCCTAAAGTGCGCCTCCCTCCCCGCTCTCGCCTTCTCCCTGGGAAACCCACGCCTGAAGCGCCCCGCGTACACCCTGCGCAGAGAGCGGTCTCTTCCCAAAGGCGCCCTCTGGGAGTTTGGGGTGAGCGCGGGGGCCGGCGAGGTCCGGAGGTGTCCATTGCTGGGGGGTCAGTTTCAGAGGCCCCAGCTACTCCCAGCCCATCCGTCCTGTCCGGCCCCCCCAACCCCCACCCCGAACACTTCACCCCCTGCCCTCACTGAGCGGTGGCCACAGGATGGGGGGCAGGCGGGGGAAGGGCTGATGTTTTAAGTGCGGGGTGTGTTCTTTAGGCAGCTTAACAACAGTTGGAAGGAAAAAAGTTACTTGTTTTGCAAATCAGCCTAAATGCCTTTCTCGCCCCTCCCCCCCGCCCCCCTTCCTTTAAAGACAAAAGCGGGGTTGCTTGGGATTGGTTTTTAACTAGTCACAGCAACCGACAGGGGACTTTCAGAGCCGGCCAGAACTCTAAAGTGGTCCTTTAGTGGGAAGTCAGCTGAAAGTGTTGTTACTACCTTTAGTGGGAAGTCAGCTGAAAGTGTTGTTACTACCTTTAGTGGGAAGTCAGTTGAAAGTGTTGTTACTTTCCTTTACACGTTAGGTTTTCTCCCGATTAGCAAGGGATGAAAATCCCAGTTCTCAAAAGGATGCCCGCAGTGTAAAATGTAGGTTATCTGAGACTGTACTTTCCTCCAGTCGGGTTTTGTAGGACAGATGATGCAGACAGGCAGCTGCACATTTTCTGTGATGAGAGGGAGAGAGAGAGAGAGAGAGAGAGAGAGGGAGGATGTGTGTGTACTCTTCCGAGAGGAGTGTATGTTGAGTTCAAATTGGAAAACGAAAGTATGCGATAGTGGAGAGTATGTCAGGCCTCGGTTTTAGGAGTTGCAAAGTGCTGGGAACGGCCAGCGTGTAGCTGGGGGTCCTTCCTAAAACAACCGCCCAGCTTGGGCTGTATTCGGGGGCACCGACTTAAAATAAGAGCCCAAAGTGACAAGGAGAGGTGGGATCTGAGCTGCTTATAGCGTGGCCAGACGTCGAACCCCACCCAGTGTGACTCGCTGGGTTGTGGTAAGAACTTACTGCAGACAGTTTCATGTCACAGCCAAGGTCTTGTTCCTTAACTGGAAGCTCACATTTTGTTACCGTTGTAAGTGCACGTGAACACTGTTGGCGACTTGGGGGGGGGGGGGGGGGGCCACTGTAGGTTTAAAACGCGCTTGGATTCCCTTAGAGTCCAGTGGTTCTCAACCTTCTGGCCCTTTAAATACAGTTCCTCATGTTGTGACCACACCATAAAATTATTTTCGTTGCTACTTCATAACTGTCATGTTGCTACTGTTATGAATCATCATGTAAATATCTGATAGGCAGGATGGTCTTAGGCGACCCCTGTGAAAGGGTCGTTCGGCCGCCAAAGGGGTCGCGACCCACAGGTTGAGAACCGCTGCCTTAGCCCGAAGCCGCACGCGGATGGCACCGCGTCTGCGCTCCGTGGGAGTGCTCCCGACAGCCACGCACGCCTTTCTGCCCTTCCCCAGGCTCCGTGGTCGCACCCCGCGGCAGGCACTGGACAGGGGGAGGTCCTGGCCGCCCTCCGTTCTCCTTCAATCACCTGTGGACCAGGGTCGGCCTTCAGAGCCGCTGTGCTGCGATGCTGTTTCCTCCAAGTGCGGAGTGAAGCAACTGCTTAAAAGCCATAGCCGGGGGCATAGAAGCAGATGCTCCTTAGTAGTTACTGCCCGTGTGTGTGAGTTGGCGTGTCTGCTGAACAATTCGTCACATAACCTGCTGGCATGAAAGTCCGGTGGAGGTCGTTACCCCGGCACGGGAGCCACGCCTCGGCCGGGAGACCACCCCGCGGTTGCCTAGAGACCGGCGGAAGGGCTCCGGTGCCCCTGCCTCTCAGGTGACCCCTTCCCGGTGCACAGGCCACTGTCCCGGAGGCTGCGATTCCTGGCAGCCTGTTCGAGCGATGGTACCTTTCTCAAGCCACTAACCCGCTCTGTGACCCCGGGCCGCGCTCTGGCCTGTTGGTATCGGAGGGGCCACCCCATCGGCTTCTTACTGCTTTGTTTTGCGCTGGGCACAAGCTTGAGAGTAGCCGGCGTCTGCTGGGGAGCAGGGTATTAGGGGAGGGGGGTATTATGGGGGGTGAGCTTTTATGGCCCCTGAGATCAAAGTCCAGAAACAGAAGTTCCCCTCCCGTGTGGGGTGCTGTGACCCACTCCCGTTGACACTGCAGGGCTGGCTGAGGTGTGGCTGCTCCAGGTCCCGTATTTGGGCTTGTCCTTGTCTTTCTTTTTACTTTCTCTTTTATGATTATTTTCCACCTCTAAACGCTGTAACATTTTTATTTGCATGGTATTCCTATTAAAAGAGATGGTGGCCCTAACTGGTCTGGCTCAGTGGATAGAGCCCCGGCCTGCAGACTGAAAGGTCCCAGGTTCGATTCTGGTCAAGGGCATGCACCTTGGTTGAGGGCACATCCCCAGTAGGGGGCGTGCAGGAGGCAGCTGGTCGATGTTTCTCTCTCATCGATGTTTCTAATTCTCTATCCCTCACCCTTCCTCTCTGTAAAAAATCAGTAATATATATTTTTTTAAAAAAGAGAGAGATGGTGGATGGAATATAAATATCACTCTTCACTCTTACAAATTACTGTTTCTGGCCCGGCCACCGTGGCTCAGTGGTTGAGCATCTGCCTATGAACCAGGAGGTCACGGTTCGATTCCCGGTCAGGGCACATGCCTGGGTTACAGGCTCAATTCCCAATAGGGGGTGTGCAGGAGGCAGCCCATCAGTGATTCTTGTTCATCATTGATGTTTCTATCTCTCTCTACAGTCCTCTCTGAAATCAATGAAAACATATTTTTAAAAATGTTAATGACTGTTTCTATAATTATATAGGAATGTAAATCTCACAATTTTCAGACAAATGATATGTTCAGCATATTTTGTTAAGCAGTCACTAGTGTTAGAGGTAATGAAACTCTGTGGGCCTGGCCTCAGTCTGACTGGCATTATTTTAAATCAGAGTGCCACAGAAGTGGGTTACAGTTGTTCATGTGGAAAATAATACAACAATTAATAATAATGCAAGAATAAACTCCGCTTCGCGCGCGCACAGCTGGAAGCCTCCCTTTGCCTCACCTGCATGGTTTTGATGGTGATTCTGGTGCAGGAACGGCCTCTCGTGCTTGTGTTGTCTGTAACCTGGGTGCACAGCGCCTGCTCGGAGCGGTTTTAGTGACCTGAGAGCACTGGTGTGATTGACTAAGAGTCCCCAGAGCCCCTGAAATGACGCCTCTCATTGCCCTTCTATCCCAGGGTTTCCCTTTCAGAGCCATGTAGACTGGTGGTTCCCAACTTGGGGCACACGCCCCACAGGGGGGCAATTTGATTTTAAGGGAGGCAATTCGGGTTACTAACAGTGAATTTTTTGCATTTCTTATGGCCCTAGGGACCTCATCTACAGTATATAAATATACACTGTGACATATTTATGCATTTCAGTTGTCTGT